TTAGGTACTGGGGAAAATAAGTATTTATGCTCATGATTTTGAACTTGTTTTGCTGTTTTAATTCCATTGACTGACAAACGATCTTCATACTCACGAACCGATCTGAAGGGTATCAGAATAAGTATTTATACTCAAGATTTATGAACTTGTTTTGCTGTTTTAATTCTATCGACCAATAATCGACTTTACACTCACGAACTGTATGAAACGATTAATGTGAAGGAAATGATCCGAAGGATATTAGGTAATGGGGAAAATAAGTATTTATACTCTGATTTTTGACCTTGTTTTGCTGTTTTAATTCCATTAACTAATAATTGATCTTTATACTCACGAACCGAATGAAACGATTAATGCGAAGAAAATGATCTGAAGAGCATTAGGTAATGAGAAAAATAAGTATTTATGCTCATGATTTTTGAACTTGTTTTGCTGTTTTAATTCCATTGACTAATAACCGATCTTTATTCTTATGAGCCAAATGAAATGATTAATGCGAAGGAAATGATCTAAGTATTTATGCTCGTGATTTGCGAACTTATTTTGCTGTTTTAATTCCATTGACTAATAAACGATCATCATACTTCACGAAGGAAATGATCTGAAGGGTATCAGGTAATCAAGAATAAGTATTTATATTCAAGATTTGTGAACTTGTTTTACTGTTTTAATTCTATTGACTAATAATCATATTTATACTCACGAACAGAATAAAACGATTAATGTGAAGAAAGATATGAAGGGTATTAAGTAATGGGGAAAATAAGTATTTATACCCATGATTTTGAACTTGTTTTGCTGTTTTAATTCCATTGACTAATAATCGATCTTTATATTTACGAACTGAATGAAACGATTAATGCGGAGGAAATGATCTAAATAGTATTAGGTAATAGGGAAAATAAGTATTTATGCTCATGATTTTTGAACTTGTTTTGCTGTTTAATTCTATTGACTAATAGTCGATCTTTATACTCACAAACTGAATAAAATGATTAATGCGAAGGAAATGATCTGAAGAGTATTAGGTAATGGTAATAAATATTTATGTTCTTGGTTTAAATACTTTTTAACTTTATCGATTAACAATGATTCTTATATTCACAGGCTGAACGCGTGAATGAAATGATTCGAAGGGTACTATGTAATGATAGATAAGTATTTATGTCGATTTGTGAATCTGTTTTGCTGTTTTCGTTAGAAATAGAGTTAGGTATAGTATTTAGTTAGAAATAAGGTTAGGGTTAGGGATCGGGTTAGAAGTGTGGTGTTTTAGCTAGAAATAGGGATAGAGTCGCCAAATTACCTCTTTCTATCTTATATAATAAAAATATACACACATTCTATATTTTTTTTTTTAACTATATTTATTATATATTTGCTATGTATATACTTAAAATTTACATATATAATAAGAAAAAAATAAAGTATATACTATTTTATTTATTTACACAAATTCATATATCTATTTATCTAATTCTATAAAATATAAACATAAAAATTAACTAATTTCTCCTATGTTAAAGTTTACAAAGAATTATTTACAAATTGGGGCGGGGCAAAATATATCTATAGCGTGATTTAGTAAAAGCTAATTTATTATTTGTTGAAAAAGATGATGTACCATGAAAATTATATATTGTATGTAAAACATGATTATGATTATAAGATAAATTATTATTCACTTCACAAAGAGGTTGTGTAAGTTTTTCTTGTCTATATATAATCAAATAAATTTAGTATATAAATAATATTTAAAAATATTCAATATTTACCGGGTTAAAGTTACCTGATATATAATTTTTATTATACTACATAATATCATTAAAATTCATCTACCATAACCATCAACTAATCTAAAGAATTTTTAGTTTGTTATAGTAGTTTGTATTATATAATATAATGAAAATTATATATCAGGTAACTTTAACCCAGTTGAAAATAAATTTTTTTTCAATCATACTCATTCACAAATTCACTAGAATCAGTAGTAAAGTTAATTGACAGAGTTCCGGTTAAAAAAAGTCTATTATTTTCTTTCCATTCTTTTTGTTTCCAGCAAAACACTACTTTGTATTGACTATCATTATCTTCAAATAAAATATATCCTCGAGTTGAAGTACTTGCATTTTCACGAAATATAATTTGATCATATTTGAATATACTTTTTAGTTTTTCGCTACCTGTAGCTCCTTCCAAAACACAATAATATTTTCTTTGACTTGGTATATATTTAAAACTATCTTCATTTTCAAATAAAGATAAAAAAACACTCTCCGGAAATGCATCAATTGTTATGTGTTTTTTTCCAATTGAGTGTCTATTAAATCCAAGGCTTTTTTTCAAACGAATTATTATTGTATCTCGATAAAATGATAAAGTTTCATTAGAAGGTTGATGTAGTATTTGCCGGTGTGGAATAAGTTTGTTGTTTTTATGTTTATTTCGTTCATGGTTCTGTAATTTTTTTTTTGTATCATAAATTTTAGAACAGAGTAAACAAAAAAAAGTAGCCATATTAAAGTAGAAAAAGTAAAATAGCGTCGCGTATTATTTTAGAAAATTAGTTTTGTAATATGTTGCCAAATTTTTGATTGGTTGTAATATAATACTAATCATGTGATATAATTAAGAGTAGGTGATATAATCAAAGATGAGCCAAATCGGCCCATATGTTGCTCTTGTCCTCTAGTTTGCACCAATAGCATTTCACAAAAAATACTATATAAGCCGAAAAAATGTCTATCACTTTATTCTGCCTTGTTAAAGGAAATAAGTCCGCGAACGCTTTCTCTGTTAAAATAAGCAGGAATGAACCTATTAGTGAACTAAAGGAGGCTATAAAGACAAAAAAGCCACAAACTTTCGCTAACGTTGATGCCAATAACATTAAATTATGGAAAGTGCCAATCTCTAACGATCACGATCAGTTGCGGAATCTTTCACTTGAGGACAGTGACGAGCTGTTGGCAATAAATGATATAGGAGACTACTGGCCTACTTCACCTCCTAAGAAGCATATTCATGTCTTAGTCTCTCCACCAGAGTCCACCGCCATTTCGGACGAGGTGTTGAAATTAAGAGAACAACTTGTCTCGTTACAGACATTATTCAACAAGTCCACACATGGTATGTATAAAATAGTGGGAAGAGAGACTTCATGAGAATTTTTCTAATCGTTATTGCATTGTAGAGTTCGAAGTCGTTGTCCACCCGAAACAGAAGGCAAATAAGTGGACTACAAATATCAAAAAAGCGTCTCTTGTCGGCCTCAAAGATTATATACGTAAGATGTATCAACCACCCGCACTTGAAAATGATGGGACGGAACTCAACTTAATGAATGATAGAAAGAAATACTTCCCTTATAATGATCAAGACCTTCATGAGATGCTCTGCATATTCGTATCAAAGAACAATCTCAAGTTTACCGTGTTCATAGAAACACCCTCAAAAGCTTTCTTGGATTGGTCATTCCCAAAGGTATGTCAGCTTTACGGACTCGGTGAATCGGATGACCCATTATTGTCAGTATTCCCGCTTTTTACTTGCGAGTATAAAGACCTGGAAGAAGATTCTTCCCGAGCAATACTTAAACATCTTATAGCTGAACTGGAGGCTCGTCTTAAGTCCATTCCAATAAATGGAAACGAAGCATCGAAATCGCAATACGTGTGCTTCTACCTTGTTTCTGGGGTGAATTTGTATGAAGGGAAGTTTGAGCTTCGACTAGAAAAAAATATCACAGGACCCAACGGACATGGACCAGTTGATTTCGCAATTGATTTACTCCGAACCATGAAAATGGTTGGCGTGAAAGAAGTAAAGGATGAAGATATTTTTAAAGGTATTGCACAGAATGCCGTACAACTCGAATCCGCTTTATCAAACCGTAAACGTAAGGTGAGCAAGATGGAAGAAGATAGTCTGTTTGTGAGTAAGACTTTCGGAATCATCACTGATGCAAAAGAATGGTATTTTATGGAGTGTTCACTCGATGATCAGGACAAGCTAGCGTTCAGACTATCAAAGCCGGTAACTGTTATATATGATAGTAAGAATATGGGCGAAAACGTTGAAAGAGTCCTCGGGCATATTGCATGATTGTTGGAGGAGGTGCAGAAGTCAGATTCTGATTCTCAAAGTGAGAAAGGGTAATAAAAAAGCATAGGTCATTGAACAACCTTACTGGGAAGGGTCTCGAAGGGACCAAGTCAGATAAATAGGTTTTAGAATAGAACCTTTATGTATCACTGATCTTTATATTTATTTTCCCACGTATTAATAAAAATTTTTCTTGACAAAAAACCCGTTAACAAGATAACAGGTTTTGGCATAACCTACAGATTTTCACCGATTTTGAATATTAACACGCGATACTGGAATCCCGCAACAGCATAGATTAATAAACACAGTCTCTACTAATTAATAATCGCAAATTACATTGTAAAAAATCGCGTAAAAATAAAAAATTGGAAGCCCAGCGGACCCCCTCCATTTATTATTATAAAAATTATATTGCCAGGATGACAACATAATATACAAATAAAAAATATTTTTATTATATAATAAAGAAAAATATAAATAAAAAAATACAAATAAAATAATTAATTTCCGGGTAAATATATAATAAAAACTGCATTTTCGACATTATCAGGAGTATAATTTTCAAGAAACCTATTTCCTGGTTGCATATAATGTATATGACCTCTAGGGTCTTCCGGATAAAGTTCAAAATTATTGGTGGTAATATTAAATTGATGCTTAATTTTATCCTTAACCTTATTGACTTCGTCTCTCCAATTAATTTTTATAGTGTACGTAGTAGTTAAATCAGAATTGAATTTAAACCTGACATCAAACTCATCAGCCATTTTTGCGTTACTAAATATAAAAACTCAACCGTAGTTAGTGAAGCATCATTTCCAAAAAACAGACGTATTATATAATAAGCATATGCCTTAAAAATAAATTGCAGACATGTTTTTTTTTATCAGAATAAATTATATGAGCAAAAAAACGTTATTGCTAATTTACCTTATAAGCGAACCTGCTTATTTTATACCTTTCATTATCACTATTTAGATCTAAGGACTGGCTAGAAAAAAATATATGAATTAGTAATTATGTTATCCAAACCCAATGCTATTTTTTTTTCTCTATAAAGCAACTCCGCTCGGCCATAAGCTCCAAATACTGAATCTATTTTGCCTTTTTTCTGGTAAAATTAAACCCCTTAGATTCGATGATCGTTTAAAGTGGGTTTAGATCTGACGATCTCGGAGATGGCGGAGATTCGAAGTCCCAGTAACATATGAATTTTGACAAAACTACTGATTAAGAACAATATATGTATTCCCCTTATAGCCTTTTTAAGTCTCATTCGTGTCTTTTCTTATCATGAGATCGCGTATTATAATAAAGGATTTTATATATTCGTAAATATTGCTTGACTGTTGATAAAAAATTGACCGTGAGAAATTATTCTGCAGGGGAGTGTTACAAAACCTTATATCTAATTTTGTGCGACTTGTTACTGTAACTTACGCTAATATTAATATAAATTTTTTTACGACTTTATGTTAATGTTAAACTACTGTTGAAGTACTGTTTAGAATAGGCGAAATATAAGATCCGTTATGCTAAATTTGTAATACAAATGTTTATTGGATTTCGAATATTCAGTCTAAAAAAATCGTGATCGAACTTGTGTCATACGTACCTGTTGTGTTAAAATAAAGCATATATGTTTGTATTATATCATATTGCTTATCGTTATTCAAATTAACTGATACCAGATTATATCATGCATAGTGAATTATTTTAAAATTTTCTTTAGAACAAAGTTTAAATATGATATTTCATTTTTGCATCAATCAAAATTTAAATGTGGTGTTTCATTAGGGTGATCCTATGTTAGATATGTATTAACAAAATTATAATTATTTTAATCTGATACTAATTTGATTTGTGATTAATAATTTTCACGAAGCAAATTGAATTTTTTTGTTTATATTTCTTTGAGTTATTTCTAAAAAGAATAGTTTATGGTACCAATCAACATAGTAAC